GACACCAGCTCCAGCCTAGCAATGGGTCGGGGCACTTGCTTCTCTCTGACAGAGTGTTTCTGAGAAAGCAGGAGGAAAGCTTCCTTTTCATCCTTGCAGTTTTGGTGCACGGGACTGTCAGTCCTGCCCGTGCTGCAGGGAGTTGTAACGAGCAGGGGAGGCAGCACTGCCTGCTCCCGTTGCTGCTGGGGCAGGACCACACCAACAGCCCCGCTGGGGGATGAGCAGAGATGGGGTGAAGAGTTGGGGGCAGAGCATCCCACCAATGGAAGTTAAATAGCATCAGGAGGAGCAAAGCTGAAGCATACTGGGTACAGGATCTCCTGGGGAGGGGAATTATCCCGGGCTGGGTTTCCCACCCCTGATAACGCCCCATCCAGGCAGCAGGTGGGTGAAAGGAGGGAGAGGAGGGTGGCTCCTTGCTGTTCTTGCAAATGAAGCCTTTGCTCTATTCTGGTTAAGATGAGCACAGCAGAAGTAAAATATCTTATTTTCATTATCACAAGTAGCCTAATCAGTCCTGAACTGAACAATGGGGGTGTGGGGGTGGTGTAAAAAAAAAAAAAAAGGCAAAACTATTTTTTATTGGTTTGGCTAGAAACCACTTTTTTCTTCTTCCAACACCTGGGAATGGTTGCTGTCAGTTTTAAAGAGCACTGTATGATGGGGGCATCTTCATGGGTGCCATGCAGCTCTGAAACCCCCTGGGCAGAGTTTTAACACGGGCTGCAGGGAGTGAGGATAGTGACAGTGCCAGAGGAGGGATGCTGCCCTGGACAGTATGGGGTGAAACAGGGGCCCAGAGTCCCTGTTCTTCACCCTGCAGAGCCCCCCAGGCTCATGGTGTGTTTTGCATTGGAGAATTGGTTTCAGGTAGCCAGAAGTCATGGCTCACTGATGGGACAAGGCATTTGCACACCCTTTCTGGAAATGTCTTCAAATAGGTTGCAGGCCATCAGGTCTACCAGGGGTCCTACAAGCCTCAAATACCTCATGACTGTGCTGGGGCACACACAGTTACAAGCAGACAGGCTGATGCCATCAGCTTTTTTTTAACATGCTCAAAATTGCCACCCAGGGTGCTGCCTCTTGGTGCCCCAGCCCCAGTGATCCCCCTGGGCTGCTTGAGCCAGGAGTTCCCCTTCCCACTCTCTTCATGGGACCTGGTCCTTTGGGTGCCTGTGAGCACCCTCAAGGGAGGCACCCCAGAATACTCTGTCTGGGAGGTGCCCTGGTTGGGGGTGCTCACAAAGCCATGCCAGACAGCTCCAGCAGAAGAGCTGGAAGTACTGGAAGAGTCCTGATGCCCCAGTGTCCACCAGGCACCCTGAGGCAAGGGGTGGCTTTGGGAGGGTGACTTCTGCTGGCACTGCCAGGGCTGGGAGCTGGGGGCTGGGCCAGGGGGTGCCTGGGGAGTGTGGGTGGGTGGAGAACTCATCTCTTGTTCCTATTTCACTGCTTCTTGGCTTTGCACCAGGTTTTGGTTTCAAGCCAGGTTTGCCAGGTTGCCTTTTTGATCCATGGCAGTGCCCTGCGATGGCCACGCGGGCACTGGGGGGCTTGGAGCAATGCCTTTGGTCCCCCCAGCATCTCTGTGCCACTGGTGCAGCCCGTCCACCCGAGCTGTGCATGCCCAAACACCTTCCCTCTAGCCAAACCTTGCAAAGAGCACTTTGGATGCTGCTGGTGTGTCACAGAGGGCTTGAGGCCCCACTCTCGGGTCTCTGGGGGGTGGTTTCTGCCGTTCAGACACAGGCTGGGTTTAGGAGGGGCTCTGTGCAGTGGGCTGGGGCTCTCCTCACTTTCGGGGGCCACAAGCACAGCAGGGTGAGGACGGTGGTACCTGATGTGCTTCTTGGTCTAAGGACCCTCTGAGAGAGCCCCTGGGTCCAAAGCAGCTGCTGTTCAATCTGTTCTGCTGCTGCATCCCCACGGAGGTGTGAGCCAGCCCTTTGTCACCCTGCTGGGCTCCAGCCCCAGGCTGTCCCACAGCATTTCTGGTCCCCAGATCCCTGTCCCACCGTGCCCAGTCTGAGCTGGGAGCCCAGCACCCCCTCCAGCACAGCAGAGCCAGCAGCAGCCCCCCTTGCCAGCTGCTCAGAGAGCTCATGGGGGGGGTCTGGGCTGCTGTGGACCCGAGGCTGGCCCCG